ACTTGGAGGAGAGAGGAAGTAACAAATGAAACTGCAACAACAGAGTTATCCAGAAAAACAAAATAATCAGCAAGGGCTGGTAAAGACAGTATCATCAGTGCTAGAGTTACCAACAATTGCACACCTATCACCAGTGCCTGAGGCCTGCACTTTATTTTTCAGTCGGTACCACAGCAGAGGGTCTGTGGCCTAATGTATGGACAGGAATCAAAGCCAAAGAGGTTATGCAGAGCAGTGATGATTTTTTAAGTGTCTACCTTTTAGAAATATATGCACAAGGATTTAGAAGTAATTGGTAGAAGATCTTAAATTCGTTTTAAAATGATACCAGTGGGGAAGCTAGACGTGGTGGCACATGCCTGTAATCCCAGCATACAGAGGGCTGAGGCAGGAGGATCGTTGCAAGTTCGAGGCCAGCCTGGGCTACAAAGTGAGCTCATGGCCAACCTGAACTGCACAGCAAGACCCTGCCTCAAAAAGACAAAAAGCAAACAAAAAAAGCGTGGGGGAAGGGATATGGATCATTCATACAGAATTGGCCCCTGAAGCTGGGAGAAGAGAAAATGTTCACTATATTGTACTAGTCTCTATACTTTGCAATTTGAAATTTTCCATAAGAAAATTTCCAGCAGTGAATGTTCTTTTTTAATCCTCAACATCCGCTACCTCTTTCCATGTGCCCATAAGAGAACTCCTACCCGGACACCACGATACTTTCTACCCCTAACCCTCTAGGTCTTTTTTTAAATGCTACCAATGAGCTGTGAGGCTTTTCTCATCAAGTTTTACAAAAGTGCATCCCTACAGGTATATGCCATCATTTATCATCCATGTAGCACTCATCATCTCCTACCTTCCTACGATCCTTTCCTAACATATATAACATCTAGTTTGTGCCTCAAGCTGTTCTACATTTTCCATACAAACACACATTCACATGCACACACATTATTTCCTTAGCCCTGGATTAGACCAGTAGATCAGTGTGTTTCAGATTATCACCAACTTAGCCCAGCCCACAACAAAAATGAACTCATTTGTTTTCTAAGTAGCCACAGCCAAAGAGTAACCAGAGGATGATGGTAAGGTCAAGATTACCAAAGGTATCTTGATTAATAAACAGTTGAGATGTAAGCAAAACCCACCAAACAAATGACAGCATTTGGAAAGCAAGAAAACCATAATCTCCATTTTCACAGCACAATAGAAGACGAAGTTAATGCCAAATTGTTTCTCAGTACTACAGTACAAAGCTGTTTTCAAATGAGCAAGACCCAGGAGGTCCTGGCTAAACTAACCTAGGCCTGATACCTCAGGCACAGGGGTGAAGGGAAGACCTTTTAATCTTGTGATAAAAACATCCCAAAACATCAGTATTCACCAAATATGAACTGCCATGAGCCTAAATCCCCACAAAGCCTAGTTGAGACTAAAAGTGAGCAAGAAGAAATAGACGTTTTACATAGCTCACGGAACAATTCAAATGACATGACAATTGGGACATAGCTTTTAAAAATACTCTTACAATATGCATATATAAAAATTCACATCTCTTTAACAGATTTGAAGCAGTTATCCCAAAAGCTGTCTTCTAAAAATAATTTCCAAATAAAAAAAGAGACTAGGGAAATACTGTGTGTATATTTTCAGAATTCAGTTGTTTTTGGATTCACTAGAGCTTACTGGAATAAAAAAAGGTAGAAGAGTGTAAAGGAAGAAACCATCTCTACCCTCCAATTTTCATTACATAACATCAACCAGAAAAAAACACCCACCAACCACAGTGCCATGAACATTTCTGCCCAAAACAATCTAATTTCTCTTTTAATAAGTGTAAAAACTAATCCAATCCCAGAACTTGAACACTTTCTTAAAAACACAATTTTTTAACATAAGGACATTAAGTGTGGAGCTTATTTTAGCCTCCCTTGTCACTCCCCAGGCTCCTGTTACAGATGACACAAACTCTTGAATCTGAAACATTTTACTTTCTGTGCAGTATTTTTCTTTCCAAGTCCCATACTTCATGGTTCAGTGGAAATAAAGCATTTCTTCAATATGGGATTATTATCATTACTTCATGGATCTGTACACTGAGGCCCAGAAAAAAGCTGAGTTACAGCCACATAGCCACTTGATAGCAGGTTCAGGTCCAGTCTAAATATGCTCCAAGCTCCCCATCTTACCCCTCACACTACCTCTTTCTCACACACACACCCACATACAATTTTATGCTAAGGGCTAGAGGTACAGCTCAGTTGTAGTGAGCCTGCCTAACTATCATGTGCAAGGACCTGTTTGATCCCCAATACCATAAAAATTATAATATATTACAATATTATAATATAATTATAATTATAGGCATTTTATGCCTATCTTGACATAGAGACCACCATAGGAAAAGAAGACAAACTCCTGGACTCTTAACTCTTTACTCATAAAAAGTATGATTTGTGCTTTCTTCTGAGGCAGTCAAGGATTTAACAGCTGTTTTTGCTTAAAAAACAAAAACAAAAACAAAACAAAACAAAACACAGTGATTTTTCTGGGGCTACAGATACCCAGTAGATAACTGAAAGCGGAACAAAGCTTGACCTTCATTTTGTACCTCTCCTTTATTACCTCAAATAGTCTGGGCCAAATCCTTAGCTCTGCATGTAGTGTAAGTATGTTAATCATCTAGGGGTTACTTACATAAAAGCTGCCAGTACAAGGTTGGCTACTCCTTAATTTACCTAAGGACTTATCCCCCTTTAAGTTTGAGGAACAAGATATTTACAGGGATATTCAACTACCAATGTGTGCCTAGAAGTCTCCAGCCATTGCCCTAAACCTACTGTCACCTTGGATCCCAGAAATGTTCCCAAAACTCATTAAGCCCTACCAGAAACAATCATCTCATGGAAACTCAGATGTGTGATAACAACCAACCCAATCCAGGCCAACACCACCTGTTTTAGTTACTTTTTTTCTCGCTGCTGGGACAAAATACCTGATGCCCAAAATTAAGGAGGGAAAGGTTTATTTTGCTTACAGTTTGTGGAAGTTTCAATCTGTACTTGGCAGATTATAAGGCAGAGTGGCACACGGCAGAGGGCCGCATCTCAGGGCGGCAGCACAGCAAAGCAGCAAGCCACACACGAGGGCGGAATGGGGGAGGAATGGTGGAGGAGGAATGCCCTCAAGCACTTCTTCCTCTCCCTTACATATGCAAACTATCCACTCCAGGGCGGGTGCAGCTCTCACACCCATATTCAAACTCTAAAAGCCTGCCCCATGTCCGCATGAAGCATTGGGGGGACACACAGACATAAACCATAACACCACCGAATCCATAAAAGACGGTCTTACTTTTCTGTAGCAGGTTTTTCTAATCTTCCTCAGAGTGCTGCCTCTTTTAGCTCCTCTAGCTAAAGTCCCTTCCATATTTTCTCTTGCTTTCTAACTCTACCTAATAAACCAGGCTATGCCTCTCACTGACAAATCCTGAAATACTTTCAACCGAGGCAAGAGACAAGAACTTATTGGGGCAAGCTGACCTCTATCTCTTTGGGGGACCTCTTCAAACTCCATCCAGAGACAATCTAAGGTAATTTCTTATTTAATTACTGTGTGATCACTGAAACTCTGCTTTCTTTTCATTACAGGATTGTCCTGAGAACTACATCAATCATAGCACGCTTACCTCAGTCTGGTACAAAGTTCTATAAAAGTTAACTTTATGTTGCCATCATTATTATTCCATAAAAGACTTACAATTGAACATAAGACAGCTCAATTAAGGAGACCTAGTTTTATTTCCCAAACTTAACGGAGTCATCCTTCAAAGCCTCTTAATGAAAAACAAAAAAGCAATCATATAACCTATGGAGTGCCATGAAAAAGTACAAGCTTACTAACAAGCAGTAGTGCTGCTCAAATTTATTATCTCTGGAAGACAAGTTTCTTTAGAACTGCACTGCTGAGCATAATGGTACAGGCTTGTAATCTCAACCCTCAAGAGGCAGGAAGATCGCAAATTCAAGCCCAGCCTGGACTATAGCAAAACCCTGTCTCAAACACACACACACACACACACACACACACCCCTAATTTTAATAGTAACATGACCATGTGAATCTGTCCAAATTAGACACAGGAATCTGGATTTAGTATCAAGGGAAACTATTCAAATTTGTCTGGGCTATTATTTCTGTGCCCTCTGGTGAGAAAAATGTATCTTTAGCTTCACTTGCTCCCCTCAAGACTGTTTAAATGAGAATGCTTACCCTGAAAGTCAGTCTTGGATCTCACAGTATTTCCCTTCTCCAGGAAACAAAAGGCCAGAAAGCCAATAATGTTTTCAGAGTTAAATGATTGCAAGAAGACTGTGTCTAATCAAATCTCAGCCCCACAGTCCACAACTCTCACTGTTCCAACACCTCCCCCACTTTGTAGCCCCTAAAGAAGTTGATGAAAAAAAGCACCAATGTCACACTGGGTGGAGCAGTTTCGGGTGACAGTGCAGAGAAGAGGAACTGTAACAAGAGATGGGGAAACAGATGTGTCTGACACTTTGGACAGGTAATTATGAAAACCCCAGAATGACCATCAAGTTGCTGCCTGAAACCTCTGCTCCAAACAAGAGTCCACCAACGGCCCAGAGTGGGGTGTGGGCAGCAGTGTGGTCAGCCTTTCCTTTGTGGAGACCATGCAGACCCCTCCCTCTTTCCAGTTCACTTATCTTTCCAACTTGCCAGGAGGAGGCTCCCTGTCTCACAGGATACTCAAGGGCAGCCGGGTTCCTCGCCTTGCCAACACCTCGTGCCACCTGGCTTTAGGACTGGGTCTGAGAAACTCAGATTTCAGTGAAAGTGGTACTAAGTGGGAAAGTTATAGCTGTAAAGTGCACGCATAGCAAGAACAGAGTGATTCCAAATCAATAACTTAATGATGTATCTCAAGTCCTAGAAAGACAAGAACATTCCAAATCTTAAACTAGGGCTGGAGATATAGCTCACCGGCACAGCTCCTGCCCGGCAAGTGCAAGGTCGTGAGTTCAATTCCTGGTACCACGAAAACAAAAAAACAAAGGAAAGAAATTAATAAAGATTAGAGTAGAGAGTAATGAAACTAAGACCCCTCCTCCCCCAAAAAAACCCCATAATACAAAGGCTCAAGGAATGAAAGACTTGGTTCTTTGAAAGAATGAAAAAGGGACCTGCGGGTGGGGGTGGGGGTTGGGGTTGGGGTTGGGGTTGGGAAGCAGAAATGATCAAGATGGATGCCTATATGTACCAATTCCCCCATGAGGAATGTATTTGCTTTGTATCTCAAAAGTAAACTAGTGAAAATTTGAGAGAAAAGAAAAACCCAGATTTATGGATTCTCAGTCTTTGACGCGCTGCCATTACACCTTCAATTAACAGATCCTTCCGGATTCCACTGGAATGACACGGTACAGGCAGTTCTTGAGTATATCCTTCCCTTGGAGCCTTAATTTCTATTCAGGACCAAATAACCCCTCCTTTGTAGATTCTCCAAGCTGACTGTACCAATTTCTCAGGAGATTCACAGCAACCCCCACAGGGCGTCTCTCGCCGAAATTTCAGCAAGTACGCACCACTTTCATGCTCCAATTCAGCTCGGTTAAGCAGCAAAATATCTGTTTTTCTAGCACGACATCTCCACAGGGTTGAACTGGGTAGAGAAGAGTCTGCAGGCTTCAGCTCTGTGCTCGTCTCGGAGCTCGGAGCCGAGAAAACCACGCATTCCGGAAGAGCGCACGGGGTCTTGCCCCAGCTCGGGCTTCGGACTCACAGGAGGCGGTGCAGCCTACAGCGCCCGAGGCTCCTCTCCTGCGCCCTCCGCGACCCACTCCGAGCACAGGGTTGCCCTCGCTTTGCAAACTCCACACCGCAAAAATCCACGTCCGCGTGTGGACGCCCTTTCTACACTATCCAAAGGGCCCCTGACACTGCCCGACCCACCCTGAGATTCCCGCCGAGCACCCTCTCCCACCGTCTCCCCTTCCCCTTCTCCCACCAGCGAGTCCGGCCGCGTCTCCAGCCGGCGAAGGAAGCTGCGCTAGGGGAGGCAGCGCGTCGGTCCCAGGAAGCCACCCGTGGTCACGGCGTTGCCCGGAGCGCCAGAGACCAGGAGCGCGGAAGGGAAGCGACGCCCGGAGGCCGCCGCGCCCCCGGCCACCCCCACCTCCCTAGGGCGAGAGGAACCCGAGAGACTCCTTGTGGGAGGTGCCGCAGCCAGCTGCAAGCAGGGAGGCGCCGCCCCGCCCAGACCATGGGATGCGGCGCCCCAACCCCCACGCGCGGGCAGGAGGGCAGGAAGCACCTTTGCGCCCCTCTCCCCACCCCCTAACTACGCCTTCAGGATCGGAATAAGGTGATACAAGCTCACCTGGCAGAAATCAGAGTCCCCAGTCTCTAACACCCTAAGCAGCGCTATTTAGATCCAGTACAATTGCTTGAAGAGTGAGGAATTTGGATCCATTTGCACTGAAATCCGCGGCCGGACAGTTTACCCGGCCGCTGCACCCGGAACAGTCCTCATCCCCGGGACTTCTCTCTACAGCCTTGGTCCAACCCAGTCGTCATCTTGCCCTCTGGCGGGGAGAGTCTGCAACCCCAGCGCAAGTGTGCCTGCAGCGCAAGAGTTCCAAGATCTCGGTGCTGCAAGGCGCGGCCAATGAAAGCAGAAAGTTTTCAAAAAAGAAACCTGAGCCCTGACTCCTAGCGGCGCTGGGCGCGCAGTGTCCCGGCGCCCCTAGGGGGCGAAACGCGCTCTCCGGTGTCCTCGCTAGTAGCCGCGCTCCAGCGAAGCAGTGAAGCGGTCCTGGCTGTTAAGAGAGTCGCTTCTGCCTCCTAAAACCTAAAAGCGGGCTCCGTGGTACTCCCCCACCTTCCTTGGCGTTGTCTTCTGTTGCTTCCAGTTCTTGAGTTTTACTTGCCGAGTCCCTGGGAATCCCCCGCTTCCCAGGCACATCCGGGAAAACAGGTGTTGCCTTCTGCAGATGAAGACAGAAAACCAATATAATAAAGTCAAGTAAATTCAAGTTGCCAGTCACCCCCTCCCTGACGTTGTTGGCGTCCTGTTTGAGGCCTACCCTGGCTTAGACCTGAAAGAACTCTGTATTCTTGGAGTTCTCCCAGAATTCAGAAGGGCTTACTTTAAGAAGTCAGAAAGAAAAGGGTGTGGGTGAATGAGTGTTATATACCCCCAGGGCACTGTACTGTAATTATTTTAAGCAATCCTGTAAACATTCCTGACAATATCAAATCATTGCTTTCAGATTGATAGCCGAGGAACCTGTGGTTTACCGAGCTGAGGAACCTGCCCAGGGTCTCAGCTAGTAAGTGGCAGAGTCAGGCTTTAAAGGCAGATGTGTCTGACACCGTATCCTGTGTCCAGTTTCTACAGTGCCATCACCAAGACAGAAGAATAATGAAATAAAGCTGCCAAGCAAGAGCTTGTTTGGAAAATATTTGAAAGGAGAGTAGTCGGGAGAAGTCAAGAAAAAGAATCTCAAAACAGAAACAAATTTGGGCAAAATAAACCAGTGAGTCTACTAATCAAAGAACAAAGCGGAGTATAGTGGAGTATAGTGGCACAAGCCTGTCATCCCAGCACTCTGGGAGGTTGAGCCAGGACTGCAAGTTAGAGCTCAAATGGGTCACTTAGCCACTTGTCTCAAATTTTAAAAATTTTAAAAGGGATGAGGGTATACCTCAGTGTGGTGGCCCTAGGTTTGATGGTCTGTACTAGAGAATAAAAAAAGCCCCAAGCTTTGAGGGGATAGCTTAGTGCTAGGGCTGGGGATGTAGCTCAGTGCAAAGGCTCTGGGTTCATCCCAGTACTACCAAATAATAAAAATAAAATAAAAACTACTTGTCCAAGGCCTGAGAAGATAGCTCAGTGGTAGAGCAATTGCCTGGCATCACAATGTCTGGCTGTGGACTCCATCCCCCACCCCCACCCCAGCCCTCCAAAAGTAAAACATTTTTGCAGGGTGACTAGGAAACAGGGATAAAGTGGTAGAATTTGGTTAATCCTCACTGAGGCCACTCTGAATCACCCTTATCAAAATTGCCGGAGACCAGTCTGCGTGCTGCCTTGTGAGGGTCCCTCTAAATCTGAATGTATGCATTCAACATTCAGTCATCAGAGGTCCCTGTTCTCAAAAAGTATCTCTAGGATTAAGAAGGAAAATTCAAGGACAGATTTTTCAAATTAGGAATACTCACTGGAAACCTGCTCTGTCCCCTCTGAGAGCTGAAGTAGAACTCCCCAACTGCTAAATGCTGAGGGACAGCTTTCCGAGCACTAATTGGCTCTCAATCACTGATAATTGCAAACTGAGTACTCCCCAGGAATACCAGAGGTTGGTTTTATTTTGATTTTTGTTTTATTTGCTTTTTAAAAATTTGTTGGTTTGGGGGATTTTTTGGTTTGGTTTTGGTTTGGTTTTGTTCTGTTTTTTTTTCTTTTTTTTTTCTTTTTGAGACATTCAGTAACCCAGGCTGGCCTTGAAGTCATGATCCCCTTGCCTCACCTCCAGTGTTGGGATTATAGGTAAGCACTATCTTGCCTGACTCGTTTTTTGTTTTCTTCCTCTCACAGGGAAGGTCCACTTTAAAGTCACAGCACCCTTTAAGACCCAGAATTTGAAGGCCATAACAGTGTCAGGGACTACTCACCAAGTTAGCCAGCCCCATTGGGTTCATACCCAGCACCATTTGGCCACACACAACTCTCTTTTGTGGCTGGGAAAACTTTACAGGGCACTAAATGTCTGGCAACAGTCCCCCAAAACCCAGCTAGGATTCACAAGAAGCCATTTGTGTTGTGAGGAGAGCTTTGACCCTGGTTTTGAACTCAGCTGAAAGAGTCCCCCGGAGGGGAAATCAGCCTGTACAAAACAGGAAGGATGTGAGATGAGACTAGCTGCATAATAAACTACCAGAAGGTGCCCACTGGTGTCTTCACAGACAGAAGTCGGGGAAGAAAGCACCATGACTTTGCATGGGAGGGAGGCCAGGTTCTCCTCAGAGAGGGAAAGAATCAAACCGAGCTGCCTTTGCTTCACTAACCCTTTTCTGCCTGCCTGTCTTAAACATCCACTATCCACAAAGTATGCATTTTGTGTTGCTATTAGCAATTTCTAACCCCAAACTGGGTTCTTTTTCCCTCTTCGAATTATGGAAACAATAACAAGACCAAGAACTGATTGAGCAATGATGGATACTTTCACTCTTGCCCAAGAATAGAAGTGGGAACTAAAATTCACACATCAACTTCTCAACCTGTTGGGAGTCAGAGGTAGTAGTTACAGAGTAGAGAAAGGGGGATCAGGGAAGGAATGATTATGTCTTTTCCAGGAATTCAGATGCCACCTCTTTCTGCTCCTTTTATAGTTCTTATAGGTCATTGTCATAGAAATTATCATCTGTCACAGCACTGGGGAGTGTGTCATTTATTTTTTTTTAATTTTAAAAGTATAAGAACAAAAACATATTAACAAACAGACAACCATTTACAAAGTAGCACAAAAATAGTATAAGCAACACTGAACTTCATACAAGGTGACAGAGAATTAACAATGGCTGTTGTATTATCTATTGATAACTTCAAAGTGGTTATTCAAGAAAATTCAGACATGCAAGATTAATCAAATAATCATTAACTGTTCCTTTAAATAAAGCAGTATAAGTCAGTACTATAACTATGTTAGCTATCCTGTATATACATATATACATAATTTTCCCCTTCTATCTTTTCTCTCTTCCCTCATCCCAGTTGTTCTTTACTTTTGAGCAGTTTCCTTTCTTTTTACAATGTCTATCATATCTCCTAATTTTTATTCACTCTTTCAGGTTCTTACACTAGTGAGATTATAGGCTGCTTACACATGCAGGTCTGGTTTATTTCACTTATGTGTATGATCTCTAGTTGTGACCAATAACCTATAAAAGCCTTGAGTTTATCTTTCTTTATAGCTGAGTAATATTCCATTATATAAAAGTACCACAATTTTTTAATCCAATCCTCAGTGGATGGACATTTGGGTTGCTTCCACATTTTAGCTATTACAAATTGTGCTGCAATAAACATGGGTGAATGTATATTGTTGTGATATGATGTTTTCAGATCTTCTGGGAAAATACCCAGAAGAATAGCTGGGTTA